ATTATTAATTAACGCGTATTACTTGCTTTGGTCTAAAAAAAAAAAAAAAGGAAAAAAGGAAAGAAAGAAACGATACACTCGTCTCGTTACACAGTTACACAATTGGCAGCTGTTGTTAACTTTCAAAGTGATAAAATGTCGATGAATGTTTGAATACCTCGACAAATGTAGATATAGCCGGAGTTACCTATTTAAATGAATATTCAGTAACGCGAGAGCTTCGACGTGATCCGCGTATATTGCGAATATTCCTTCTCTTCTTTCTTTCGAACGGTCGTTAAATTTGGCACCGTTGAATTATTCGGCGCTGTTATCCCCTAATTGTGCTCGAGTTTATTCCGCGTGTATCCTTTTACCGTCTTATCGCGGGGTGAAGGAGAGAAGAGGCGCTTCGTTGCCAAAGATTCGCCACGACTGTTCTTCGGTCGGCGTTCGTCGAACCTTCGCGAGACTACAACAGTTTCTGTTGCTCGGGCCAGAAAGACGATACTTTAGCCCGAAGAACAACAGGCTTATGGTTCTTCCCTCTCCCGAAACTCATGAATTAAACACCCGCGAAATTCCACGATACTGCATAATGAACCGAGCTACACCTTTGGTACATTTATCGAGTGCCGGCGCTGTTTCTTTCGAGCAGAACGAAAAACAAAACGTTCGACTCGAATTCTCGATGAAACGTTGCATCGACGAAACTCTCATCGTCGCCCGCGAGAAACACAAAAGAAGAAGAAGAAGAAGAAGACGTAATGGTAAATTTGGTCCCGAGGAACTGGTTGGGCCTGAGGAGAAATCCGGACGCAGTTTATCCTTGAGGAAATATTTTGAAAAGGCGGGCAACGATGCGCGAGGCTGACGGTAATTAAGCATCTCGCCGGTACCGGGAGGCTCCGCAAACCAGCAGTAAAAACTAAATAAATAGAGAAACGCGTCCGGCGCGGAGGTCTGGTCTGGTGGCGAAGCACGCCCGGTTGGATCAAGCCGCGAAAAAGGAAGCGAGCGAGCGAGCGAACGAGAGATCGTACGCGAGGACAGAGGCAGAGCTTACGCAAACACAAAAGCTCACGACTGAAGACAAACAGCAGTGACTGTAAGCTGCAACGTGGCCCGGGGCGCTGCGGCCACGTTGCAGCGTGGGAGAAAGGAAGGAAGGAAGGAAGGAAGGAAGGAAAGAAGGAAGGAAAAGACGAGCCCGACGAAAGGCGTGGAGAAGGGCAAACACACGCGCCGGACAAAGACCGTGCCGCGAGATGAAAAGGTAAGACAGAGTTGGTCTCGGTGGAAACGTTGCCACCTATACCCGACGGCCGAACGTTCCTCTTTCCGAGACGACCTCGTGCTTCAGTGAACGCGATAGCGTCTTGCAGATCTCGCTCCTACTCTTCCTGGAGAATTGCGGAGAACGTGCGGACGAAACAGCTTTTGCGGGCGGTTGAACGTTTTACGCGTGCACACGAGTATAGAATCTTCTACATTACAGTGATGAACGTAACTGAACGCACGATGACGAGATATTGTTGACAATTGAAATTATTACAACTTCAGGAAAGAAAATTGGTCGTATTTTAAAGATCGTCTACTTTCAAGGGGTGGAAAAGTAAGAGTGCTTTTATCCTCGAAGGTTAGAATTCGAAAAGAAATTGTTTTAACAATTGTAACATAATTCAACGTGATCTCGTAAATTTTTCTTTATAACGATTCCTTAAATCTTGCTGTACCTCTTAAATTTTTATTCCTTTTTTCTTTCCTTTTTGGGTCATTTTATTGAACTTTAAACACGATTGCTCGATACGAACGACAAAATGTCAGAATTTCTTGAATTTTTGTCATTTAACTTTAATGTTCACTTTTAAAAGAAATTTTATACAAGTTTCAAGAGATCGTTATAGAGAAGAACCTTCAATCTTCAAGACTACGATGTATTTAAGCATAAATTTTTCAGCGCTTCTACATATAGGGTGAATTTTTACAATCTTTTTCTTTTAGAGAACACTTTTTTCATTTGTTACATGATGTTAATACTTTTCATACGGGATGTTTGAAATGACAGTAATCTGTAGGAAATATGTACTAGAACTATCTTTATGGAAGTTTCATAAATAATTGTGCAATTTTACTATTGTAATTCTATCGAACTCGTCAATATGACCAATAACTGCTTGAAAGATACGTATACTTTTGTCAAAATTATTATCAATTACTGTTTGGACAGAAACACAACTGTATAAATCAATTTATTTTAGTTATGATGACATATGGAGAATATTTTGATACAATGTTGATAGATATTTCCATTTATTTTAACATTTCTGTGCAACCAAAGTATATGTAACTAGCGAGAACGTTAAAATGTCCAAGGAAAAAAGCGAATTCACGAATTCATCAAACTAGAAACGTTTTAAAATGAGACCAAGAATATTGCCATATAATTTTTTTTTACAAACGACGTTGCAACGACGTTGTTGTTTGAAATATCGATAATATTTCATTTGATGAGGTGCGAAACTGGCTCCACGAAAACAATTTGTATCTGCCAGAATGATGATGGTAACATGGTGGTAGTATTTTCTTACGAAAACCAAACATTCTACAAAACATTACATATTTTGTTTTGTCTGTGTTTTTCGTGCAAATATTCCACAGAACAATATTTACGTTAAAATTCCGTTACTGTGTACTATTTTCTAGGTTATGTACTTGAATAACGACCAGTCGTGCCAACTGTTCGCTGTGACCGATGACTACAAAAAAATTTGCACGTTGGTAAAAGATAAATATTAGTAGATACCCATGACTAATGTCGTTTTTTTTCAAATTTAATAAACATTGTCATCTAGCGACAATAATTTAACTTATTACAACATAACCTATATTCTAGTTAAATATATTAACATTTAGCTCGTTATAGATTAAAATGAGCCTAACCCAATTCTAACCAAAACCTATATTCTAGTTAAATATATTGGCATTTAGCTCGTTATAGATTAACTTTCAAATAAAATACAATTTTGAATAATATCAAAAGAATGACATTAGGATACTACCCTTGATACTTTTCGTAGGTATTAATTTTATGTGATAATTAATCTAAGTGGCATGTCTGTGACGACACCACAGAAGAATCAGTCGAAAGCATAATTAGCCAAGGGCGATGAATCTCCAAGTGTGTACCTCGCACCAGGCGGAAAACAAACACTCGACGCGGAAACATATGCTTATTTGGGTAGCAACGCGCGACGAGCGCACAGCAAGATTTCCGCGAGTTGGTTCGCGCGTGTTGTCCCATTAGAATCGAGTCTCTCCCCAGTGCGTTCCGCAACAAAATGTCGCAGCCGTGTAAACGTGCCCCGAAAGCCTGTGTTTCGTGCTTTCGAAGATCACTCCAACCGTGTACCCCCGGTATATTACAGCTCCGCGCTCCTCTAAGCACTCTATTTTCGCGGAGGATCCTCCGTTTCCCAGAGGCATCTCCTCTGGAACTAAAACCTAGAAACCGGCCGGATTTCGCGACCCTTTCACTCGACGTTCGACAAACCAAAAATCGAAAAACAAGTAGAAGCCAGAGGGAGAAGATTTGGCGAACAACTTGAAACAACGTGAAACCATGTGGACAAATATTTTAGAACTACATCGCAAGTTATTGTAAAATATTGTTTTACAGAACATGGTGCCAGTCAGATTTGATCGGAGGACGCGTGTGACGAATTTACGAGAAATAAAATAATTCGATCTTGTTTCAGATCGTTGTTAGATCTAAGAATTAGTCATGTATGAGTCGTCCTAAGATACTTTAACCAAGAGCCAAAGTACAAACAGGAAAGAATATATCCTGCTACAAGCAAAAGTAGTTTAGTATTGCAGCAAGCATAAACTAGCACCATAATATTTCTATATTTATTTAAATTTCGGAGTGGAAGTCTTGTCTTGTTCGAACAAATAATTCTTCTCCAAATAACACTGTAAAGTCTAATTTCTTAATTATTCCTTCGCAACGTGGCATCGTTCGCAATCGGAACACACGTTCGTCCTACCAAGAGAGAAAGAAAAAAAATGTGCTACAGGATTATTTCTGTATGGGGAGGGGGGGGGGGGGGGGGAAGTGTCGATTATATCCGGCAGTTCAACGAAGCTATAGAACGAAACTGTTGAACGTAACAACTGTTAATTGCGTGTTGGTGATTATGCAGCATCGACTTGCATCGACATTTTTTTACGGACAGAGTAACATAAGCGCTTTGATCGTTCAACGTTGATAGCCGCAATGGCGGCCGATATCGGCGATATTCGATTTTCCGGCAGACAGGCTTGCGCTTTAAAAAAACAAAGAAAAAAAAAAAAACACACACACGCCACATGCTGCGGCGTGATTTTTGTTCGACGCGAGGAGCGAACAGGTGGCCCGTGTCTCGGAAGCTAATCGAAACGCTCGTTTTCGAAATACGAACGAAAAACACCAAGTCCTGCCCGTTGCGCACATATTATACCTACATACTACACGCGTATGTACAGACAGCCCTTTTACAATCGTTCCGCGAGATTATTTTCTGAACTGGATATATATATAAAAAAAAAAAAAAAATGTATGGGGAAAAAAAAAGAAAAAAAATGTTCGTTGTGCCACTGACAATATTCAACGTTGCGTAATTGGACGGAACTTCAATTGTTCACCGAATACAAGTAGAAAGAATAACGATCTTTACTAAATTCAGAAATACAGGGTTGGCCAAAAGTTTCATCTCACCTATTTTCTTCTCTCTTCTTTTTTTTTAGATGAAACATCAAAATACAAGAAGAAAACTAATTCTATCAATTTTAAATTAAATTTTTATTTTAGTAGGAAGTGACTTTTAGCCCACACTGTATCATCAAATTCTATCTCAAACGCTATTTATTGATCCCAAGTTCAACTATTATTCGAAACCTAAGGTTCTCTTTCGTAATTAGTCTCGTGAATTGATTCATTGCGTCTAACGTAATTTAATGCATCACAGCTTTCAACTCACCTACTGCTTTTGGCGTTGGAGAGGTCAGCGATCGTTCTGTAACATAAATAAATACACCCCACATAAATATTTCAATAGAAAATCCTAAATACTACAATTGTTTTAACAACGAAGGCACAGTCTTCGAACTTAAGAAAGATTCGTTAAATTTTATTTCATTTCAACTCTTTCGTTGAAACTTTAAGAATATTTTCGAAATGTTTCACGAGTAATTACATTTATAGAGATCGATTCTTCGCACGGTAATTAATCATTAATTGTGCACGATCTTTCGAGTAAAAAAGAAGCGCGAAACGAAACAGTCTGCTTGATCTGCAATATTTAAATTTCGGCGGATCGATTCGATCGATTAGAGCTTACGGGCTGACCGAATGTAACTTATTGCGTCTAATTTAGCCTCGTCGCTCAGCTTGCAACTGGGTTAGTGGACACGAGATCATCATCCGCAGGAAGGCATGTACTTTGCAACTACGTGGCGTAACTTAATTTGCGATACTTGCGGCCCGAAAACCAGTGTGCCGGTAATGAACGGAATTAACAGATGAACGTTGCATGTCCCGTGCTCGTTTCGCCAGCCTTCGAGACACGTTGAAACGTGCAAATCAAGCGAGATACTTTTCTCGTCCAACGAAAATAAAATTAAATATTTCCATGAAACGTATTTCGAAACAAAATATTGTAATTAAATATTATATCGTATAAAAATTCTCCGCCTCGTTAACCGATTTACCTTATTTAGTTTCAAGACGATATTTTAATTAATTTCTTTCATAATAGCATTTAATCGCTTCCTCGATTTGACAAATTGGAGCTGAAGTCGAAAAATTAAATTTCACTGACGGATGCAGTTCCTGTTCGTTGCAGCTGAACTATAGTTTGCACTGCCATGTCAGTGTACGATGTTGTAAGGAACTTTCTTTCAGTTTAACAGCATGATGTACGTTTATGAAGGCCGTTTTCGAACATTTCTTAGGAAGAACAGTCGATTCCAAACGCATTGTAACTGTCAAGACAGTCATTTCCTATTATTCTGCCGAACAATGGCTGATAAAATAATTTTGTAGGTTAGGCACTTTGCGTTGACCTGTCTCGAGGTTCGTTAACCGTAACGCGTGGACTCGTTTCAAGACGTTACTACTACGATGATCGAACGTCGCGTTTATTACTGACTCGTGCTACTTCACGTCGTCTTCCATCAAAACCAAGTCGCAGCTAACGTAGCCCACGTGTAAAGAGCAGAAGATGGACGAGTGTTTCGCTTGCATTTTATTAACGTCATAGTTTAGATCGTTCATGACTTCATTGTTCAGCTTTTTTCTCACTTACTTGCTTAGCGTTTTCTTTCTCGGTACGGTATTCAGATGGAAATTCGTGCATGACGGTTAATTCTCTAGAAATCACGCGAACATTCGTCAATTTCGTTATTAATTTTTACTGGGACAGCCGAACGAATCGACGAATAACGTTTCGGCTTGTGAATTCAATCGTCATGGTGTGTTGCAACGCTGTGCATTCATTTTTACTGCTAGGATAAAGAGTGGATCCATCAGGCTCAAACTATATATCTTTTTGAACGTGTCGACGATGCAGAAAATATTTTTTGCCCAACATGCTATATGGTATCGAAGAGCCTGTAATTGGTAAGAATATTTTTTTCAAGGATTTTTCAAAGTCGTATCGCGTAGCTGATAAAAAAAAAGATACGTTCGGAATATGCAGGAAACATGATCTTGAAAATGTAAGTTTTACGTTTCATTTATAAATTTACTTGTACAAGAATTGCAGAGCTTGGCTAAGACGCGACAATAATCTCTGTATAGTCATTCTAATCAGGATTCTAATTAGTTCAAAATAGTTTGACTCGTCGTCGTTGAAACACAACGTGAAATGAAATCTGGCCCAAGTATGAAATCCTCGTTAGCACGGTTTGTCACAAGATCGCTAGAGAAATCTATTTTCGAAGCGGCAACGACATTTCAAACTTCGAAGTGTCTTTCGTTATTACGTCGAACTCTTTTCGATGAATCTTACAGTCGCTCGGCTGACCTCGCGTCAACTCCTTCGAGGATCGATGAAATCACGATCGAACGAAACGAGTGGATAATTCCTCGGAGCGTTCGCCGGGACAGCGCGGCGCGGTGCCATTCCGAACGATTATCCATCGAATTTATCGCGTGCATATCTCGCGCGGGCGACTGCACACGTCGCTGCGCCAACTATAATTTATCGTCACTTGGCGTTCGCGAGAAATGCCTCGACCGATTCATCCGCAGACGCGTAAAAAGCACGCGGCCATACGTCTCGCTGTTGCATGTTTCGCTTTACGCACGCGTTAAAAAACGCTGACGTTCTCTCTCTCTCTCTTTCTTTTTATTTTTCTGCTCATTTTTTTTATTCTCCTCCTTTTTTCCTCTTGGTCCACGACCAATTCCTCTTCGCGTCGATCGCAACGAACGCGACTTTAGATAACGCAAGTTTCGAGAACTCCATTATCGGGGTGACGTGATGCGAAGGGTTGATGGAAGCCCGGTTTAATGACCAAACGCTCCAACTGGTCCTAAGTTCTTTTTCATCGACGCTGAGAGGGAGAGAGAGAGAAAGAGAGATGATTACGTAATATTTTCCACAGCAAAGGCTGTGCAATTAGTGTAGTACGTTTCGCGCGCTCGTGCAGCTGGCCAGTTCCAAAGAATGACGCTGTTTGCGGAGACAGCGAGCTGTGCAGCATGTTCTAATGGAGGAATAAAGAAGCTAGTGCTTTATTCACGGAGCTGTGATTGTAAAGGTGTTGTGAGAATTTCTGCGAAACTGTATCAGCGTAATCTATGAGTAAAAGTAAATAATCTACGAGCAGAGGCAGTAAATCAACGCCATTCGAGCACATTGAGTGCATTACGAAAAATGGTCACAATACATTAAAATTACGTATTAATATACTTATGTATTTAATATTTATATTAATTATTTATGTATTCAACTGTTATGTTAACATATACTGAATTACTTATGTATTTAATAGTTATATTAATATATATTTATGTATTTAAATATATTATACCAATATATTATGTATCATAAAATTATTACAATATATTTAAATACGATTTTTTGAAAGACAAAGGACTTGTCGATTCAAGATTTCTTGTCGATATGAAGAAATTTGTTTCCTAACGTCTACGCCCTCCATCTCGGCTATTGTTTTATCGGGAACGTTCACTGTTATTAATCTCGGTTGCTCACCTACGGATCTGTTTATTTTATGTAAGAGAGACGGTTAACTGGCGGCCCGCGGATCCTTTCCCCCACTCTGCTGATCGCTGGCACTGCCCCCTCTACTGCATAGTAGTGGAGAGATCGATGTAGTGGTGGGGGTAGCGCTAGCAAGCTGGAAAGAGAGCACAAGAATCCGCGGGCCGCCAGTTAGCCGGCTCTGTTTTATACTCTCAAGTACAATTAACGTCAATTTACGTTAAGGCAATCAAAACCAACTCGTTCACAATTTCAAAATAATGAGCCAATTTTTACTAAACACGCTTGCAGACAGAGGTTATTCTCTGTAAAAATTATCTCAAGTGTCGATACAAGATTTCCTTTATGGCATAAATACAGTCTGCTATTGGCGAAATTAGATTTCTTTACGATTCCGGATTCATTTCGCTATCGAGGCTCACTAAAATCTGTGAATCACGAATAATTTAGATTGATTAATTTACGTATCGAACGTATATGCTAAACAATCTTACGATTTGTAGAATCCTCAACAAAATAGTGCAACAGTAAAAAAAGAACCTATCGGCACGTGAATACCGAGCTGGCAAAGAGCTGGCTCCGTTTTATAAAATCAAATAGCTGTTCGTTGTGAAACAACAGAGAAAGGCACGGATTTCCATTGTTGCGCGATTGTTCGGGCCTTGTCGAGCCGAAGAATCGTTTCCTCGAAGCTCTTCAGCTTCGCGACAGCGTATTGTACGTACCTCGGACGCAAGTATCCTTGGACGCAAGAAAAGGTTGGGAGAGTGGAAGGAGAAGCGGAGTGGGGCCGGAAGCCGCGGCAAGATAACGGTCTGCCGGTAAGTCCGGACAATGCGTCCCATAGGCGGACACGTTTGTCGTGGATTAGCACGATTCCTTGACTTTGTCGGCCGGAGTCCTTGAAAACTCGGCGAGAGATAGGGACGGGACATTGTTTTCTCGCTATCTGAACGCAACTCCGAGGTCGAGAGGCTTGAGAAGGACGGGATCGGCCGATCGTTAGCAGGTCGTCCACTTCCAGGCTTCATTTCGATCAAATCGTAGCTCGATTCGAATTTCAGTCGAGCGAAACGCAAAGAAGACAGAAAACCACGATCACCTCGGATCTTTTAAAAAATTATCGAGGAGTAGGGAGGGGGAAAAAACCTACGCTGAATCAAGAGAGAAATTAAACGCAGAGCCCAGCGTAGAAATAACGTTTCGAGAAGAGGGAATTGGGGTCGAAAGAGGGAAACGGAGAGAAAATGGAGAGGCCAGAAATGGCGGAGCGGAAGGCAAGCTGGACGAGCAACGATCGATTATTACCGTCGTCTACGGGGTAATCGTGACTCCGTTCTGCGTAGGTATTTGCGAAATACGCAATCATCGTTGAAACGTGCTTTAAAATAAATAGCGATCTCTCTCCCTCCCGCTTTCGCCTCGTTCCGCCTCGTTCCACCTCAGCGAGCAGGATAGAGATACTCGACGGTTTCGTTGAACGTACTACGCAAAGTAAGACTTTTCCACGGCACTTCAGACTTCTCCGGTGCTCCGAGTATAAAGCTATTTACGTATCCCATTTCCCGCAAAGGGTGATCTCTCTTCTTTTTTCTCTCTCTCTCTTTTTCTTTTCTTTCCCAACCTGCTCACTATGCCCTCCAGTGGTAACAGCTTTTAGGGCAACGTCGAAAGACGTTCGAGAAATTCGCCGTTCTCGCTCGAACAACGAAGTGGTTAACTGCGGACGTCGGCATCGAAATTAACGCCGTCACGTTTCATCAAATTGCGCGCGAGCGTATCG